TATATATATAACTGTCTTTTTTAAAACTGTCTCAAGTCTATGCATTTGACTCTGTAAGTTGTACACTAGCAAAATGGTCGACTATAAGATGTGTAAATGCACACTACGACATTATCACGAGCGATATATATATATATATATATATATATATATATATATATATATATATATATATATATATATATATATATATAGTGAGAGAGAAGGAGAAAGATGGAGAGAGCGAACAGGACACAGTCTGACAGGGGTGATGGTTCCGAATAGACGACAAAAAACAAAAACAAAAACCAGTTGTGTCATCTGCACAGCAAAGTTCTGGAATAGAGCTGCCACCAATTATGAGCGGTTTATAAGTCTCACATGTCTAGTCATTTTTTGCTGGAAATAGAAACAAGCTGCCGACAAGCCAGTGCACTTATATACCAACTGATACCGTTATTAGGACAGCCAAACATAAATATGAGCCAAAGAAAAACAAATAAATAACATATTCATACCAAAATTGTGCGGACAGTGACAGATTTGCGCATTATCAAAGGTTAACCTACGTAAAATAAACTTTTAGATGATATTTATAATAGTGGGTACATACCATATAACCTTTTAAAATTAATATTTAAAGCTCTGCCAAAGAAACCAGGCAATTCATCATGTGAAGACCGTCGCACAATAAGTCTTATGAGACACATGACTAGGATGTTACTGAGAATAATTATGAGGTGAATCAGAAATAAAATGATGAACAATGTGGATTTGTAGAAGGAAAAGGTTCAAACGATGCCTAAGAACGTAGAACATTGTCAGAAAGAGCTCCAGAAGTAAAGACTGATTTTACTTAATCTTTACAGGCTTTACAAAGCCATATGACTGTGTGAAGCATGAAAAAGTAATCAAACTATTAGTAAAATTTAACATTGATGGAAAAGATCTACGAATAATAAGGAATATGTATTGGCAGCAAACAGCAGCTATAACAACTGGCAACTGTTTAGAAACATTTCAGTGCATTAAGAGGGGCGTACGACAAGGGTGTATACTGCCACCTGATTTATTTTCATTGTACAGTGAATTTATAATGAGATCTTTGCTTGATATCCCGGAATTGTAGTTGGTGGGCATAAAATAAACAATTTAGGTTATGCTGATGACAAAGTCTTGGTAGTGTAATAGGGTGGAAGCGACAAAGACTACAGTACAGCAGATTAAAGATCTTAGATTTATTCTGGTTTGAAAATGGCCAACAGGCCAAAGGGGAAACATTACCATTTATTAGTGTTAGACGATAACACGGGAAAAATCTGGCTCGCTGGGTATTCAAGATTTTATTTAGTCTTGGAGTGACCTATTTGACTTCCGGACCAACCTGTGGAAGCCTAACCTAGCTACTGATGCTTTGCACAATGGGCTGGTCGGCAGGTATGGCGACCACAGGTAACGTTCGTGGTCTGACTGATTTCGGGTCACGGTACGTTCAGTTCAGTTGGTTAGATGGTATTTGAAATAGATTTTCATTTGTATTCTTGCTAAGAGATAGTTGGATGGTAGATGCTATATATTAGATTTTGTTCCAGTACGTTGTTGTCGTTAATGTCGTTATTTGTTCGCCACGCTGATGTGATGTTAAATAAAAATGTTGTTCAACGTTGTATTCATAGTTACAGTTGTTTCCTTCATCTTAGGACTTGTAGTTAGCGTGCATAGTTTAGTTTATTCGTTACTTCGCTATATTAGACTTTACACAGAAGATTTCTTGCCTGGGTGAGATATTCTGATCTCTCCCCCACCAAAACGAACTCTCTTTTTCTTTGTCTTTTTTCTTGATACTAAAGGGCTCTCCGGTCTAGTACAGTAGAATAATAACAAGTCAGAAAGAACTACAGGAAATTATAGACATTGTGGTGGTAGAAATTGGAAGAATGGGCCTGTTTGAATAATGGAAAGACAGAAGTAATGGTGTTATCTAAGAAAAGAGTGATTCCAAAATGTGTAATAAAAATCAATGGTGTTATTTTGGGACAAGTACTGAAATTTAAATGTCTGGGCACATAAATAACATCAGATGGAAGATGCATTACTGAGATAAGAAACAGAATAGGACAGGCAAAAACTGCATTTTATAAAATAAAGAACATCTTGTGCAAAATATCCTTGTCATTGAAGTTTAGAAAAATAATTCTTGCTTGCTACATACATACAGTTTTAACATATGGCTATGAATCCTGGACAATTACAGGGAACTGTAATAATTTGAAAGATGTATTTGAAAGTGAGAGCATGGAATGGTAGTGTGACAAATAGATTGCAATGTTGTAACAAGACATCATGCTTTGAGAGAGTGAGAGAGAGAGAGAGAGAGAGAGAGAGAGAGAGAGAGAGAGAGAGAGAGAGATATGAGTGAAAGAGAGAGAGAGAGAGAGATATGAGTGAAAGAGAGTGAAAAAGATTTTAACCTTCACCCCAACTCCAACAAACCTCAGAGACGAGTTCATCGTAAATCAAAAAGCTGACAACCCATTGACCAAACGTATTCAGCCTTCACTTACAGACAATGAGGAAATGCTACTTCTCTCAAACAATTCAACGAACAGGGTAAATATCATCACTGAACCGAAAGATTTCCCTACAAAAACAAAAACAAATTGTTACACCCAAGATTACCCCCACACAATTTAGAAACAACACCAGCAAAACAGAAAACTGAAAATGGTAATTTCTGTAATGTATTCCCGGATGTTCCAGGCAAATGTGCAAAAATTTTCCATCATATACGGTGAAACATCAACAAACCCGTCAACATAAAACATGGTCTAATTTTGTTATTGCAATATTTTTAAGATTCAAAATTTTGGATATATCCTAAAAAGTCAAAATTTATTTTGAGGATATTTCCAAAATTTGGAATCTTAAAAGCCCCACCACCAAAAAGGAGATTCGAAGCTTACTCGGGTCATCAATTGTTAAAAAAAAGAGGTCTTCCAATACAACTGAGTGGAACTGGGAACTAGATCAGGCTTTCACCAAAATCAAAACTGTTTTCTCTAGTCTCCCTATCTTAAAACTTCCTAATTTCAAATTGCCTTTTGTTCACAGATGTCTTCTTCCTTCGTTGGCCTGAAATAAGTTGTCTATATCAGCGATTTTGTCTCTTGTATAAATTTTACTGTCGTTGTTAGTTCATTCAGTGGTCCATAGAGTTTACGTTCCACTGTTGTTCTTTCTGGCCAAAAGGTTTGTCTTAATGTGTCAAATTCGGTGCAGTCCTGGAGTACATGCTTTGCTGTCTGGGGCACCTTTCCACAGGTGCACATGGCTGAAACGCCTATCTTGAATTTTGTGTACACGTGGTTACGTAATCGGTTGTGCCCTGTTCTGAGGCGGAGGATAATGACTTGTTCTGGTCTGTCCATAATAAAACAGTCGTCTTGTGATGGGGCTGGTGGTTTCCTGATCGATTTAATGATTCAGTTTTTTTTGGGGGGTGGTATGTGACTGGTACATCCGGCTGCACTTTTGTCGCACCTTCCCCTGCCGGTCAATCAGCTTTCCCACTTCCAGATAGACTTTACTTAGAGTGGTCCAGTAGTAGAAATTATAATTTGCGTGGCTCAAGTTGTGGCAGCTCAACATATATTAGCCCAAGAAATGGAAACTGCAGATTATTTTCACTATTGTATTATAAAGAATGTTGTACATGGCATTATTTCTACACGTCACTTCAAGTGGTCCATGCGTTAACATATAGTATCATTTTCTACTGTCACTCAGTCTGAAACACAGAACTCTTAATAATCATAATATTTTGACACGCCAACTTCGCAGGTTAGTCTTGAAATTAAAACAAAAAAGTCTCATGTAAATCCTGACATTTGGAAAAAGCGAACTTCTAATTTTAATCCTGACATTCAGAAAGAAAGGAAGTTCTCGTGGAAATCCTTACTTTCAGAAACAATGAACTTCTCATTTTAAATCCTGACATTTAGAAGAAATTAACTTCTCATTTTAATCATTAAATAAAAAAAAAAAGAACTTCTAATTTTAATCCTGACATTCAGAAACAGAAGTGAACTTCTTATATTAATCCTGACATTCAGAAAACAACTAACTTCTCATGTAAATCCTTGAATTCAGAAACAATAAACTTTTCATTTAAATCATGAAAAAAATATGAACTTCTCAATTTAATTCTAACATTCATAAACAAATAGCTTCTCATTGTAATCCTGACATACAGAAAAAAAATTAACTTCTCATGTTAATCCTGACATAAAGAAAAACATTTACTTCTTATGTAAATCCTGGAATTCAGAAACAATGAATTTTTTTTAAATCATGAAATTAAAAAAAAAATTAACTCTCATTTTAATCCTGACATTCATAAACAAAGAGCTTCTCATTTCTATCCTGACATACAGAAACAATGAACTTCTAATTTTAATCCTGACATTCAGATAAAAAATGAATTTCTCATGGTAATCCTGACATTTAGAAACAGTGAACTTCTTATGGTAATCCTGACATTCAGAAATTAACTTCTCACGTAAATGCTGACAATCAGAACCAATGAACTTCTATTTTAATCATGACATTCAGAAACAATAAACTTCTTTTGTTAATCCTGACATTAAGAAACAAAACAAAAACTTCTTATTTTAATCCTGATATTCAGAAAAACAAAAAAGAACTTTTCATTTCAATTCTAACATTCAGAAAAAAATTTACTTCTCAAGGTAATCCTGACATTCATAAACAGTGAACACATGCAAGTTGTGAAAATTTGAAATATTTAACATCTAATGCAAAACATGACCCCAGCATGGGACAAACATGACTGAAAAAAGACTGCAGAGATGTTCTGTAGACACACTGACAGACATGACTGAAATATGACTGTAGAGATGTTCTGTAGACACACTGACAGACGTGACTGAAATATGACTGTAGAGATGTTCTGTAGACACACTGACAGACATCCTGATGAATACGCCTCGTCCAGGAAAGATCTAGAGGTACTCCTCCTTCTGGATGCTAATAACCGGCTGACTAGGCTTGTAACAACAGTCCCAGTTCAACAGGTGAAACTCTTGACCCCATCTGCTGTGAGTGGTCTCTGTTTCTGGGTAGATTTTCACCTGTAGTCGGGTGTCCAGACACGCTCCGTCCTCCAGCTGCAAACACAGGCACAAAAGAAACAAGACAGGAACAGAACGAACAAACGAACGGACTTTGTTTTCAAAGGGTCATAAACTGGTCTTACATTCGGCCTTTCCAAAAATCTATCTTTCACAAAGTAGTTGTATTGTATCAATAAAAGAATATGCATAATGTGAAAATCAAGAGAGAAAATATAAAAACACGGATAGAAAATGCATGCGCACACTCACACACGCCAACTCACACATTCACTCACTCATTTACACACATACATACATACTGTCAGGGTCCTGTGGCTATTGGATGCCACAGAAGGGTGATGTTAAATCAGCAAGGAGGCACTCAGCTGAACTCGACTGCCGGACGAGCGGTAAGCGTGAAGACTGGACAAAAAGACCGACAGACAGGGAAGAGATCAAAAAGGGACTGATAGAGAAAACAACCCAGATAAGAACAGACAGAGAAATACAAGATAGAAACAGAGAGGAGACGAATGAGGGACAGACAGAGAAGAGACCAGATAGAGACAGACAGAGAAGAGACCAGATAGAGACAGACAGAGAAGAGACCAGATAGAGACAGACAGAGAAGAGACCAGATAGAGACAGAGAAGAGACCAGATAGAGACAGACAGAGAAGAGACCAGATAGAGACAGAGAAGAGACCAGATAGAGACAGACAAAGAAGAGACCAGATAGAGACAGAGAAGAGACCAGATAGAGACAGAGAAGAGAACAGATAGAGACAGAGAAGAGACCAGATAGAGACAGAGAAGAGAACAGATAGAGACAGAGAAGAGAACAGATAGAGACAGAGAAGAGAACAGATAGAGACAGAGAAGAGAACAGATAGAGACAGAGAAGAGACCAGATAGAGACAGAGAAGAGACCAGATAGAGACAGAGAAGAGAACAGATAGAGACAGAGAAGAGAACAGATAGAGACAGAGAAGAGACCAGATAGAGACAGAGAAGAGAACAGATAGAGACAGAGAAGAGAACAGATAGAGACAGAAAAGAGAACAGATAGCGACAGAGAAGAGAACAGATAGAGACAGAGAAGAGACCAGATAGGGACAGACAGAGAAGAGACCAGATAGAGACAGAGAAGAGACCAGATAGAGACAGAGAAGAGACCAGATAGAGACAGACAGAGAAGAGAACCAGATAGAGACAGAGAAGAGACCAGATAGGGACAGAGAAGAGACCAGATAGAGACAGAGAAGAGACCAGATAGGGACAGAGAAGAGACCAGATAGAGACAGACAGAGAAGAGACCAGATAGAGACAGAGAAGAGATCAGAAAAAAGACAGAGAAGAAAAGAGAAGAGATAGAGACAAACAAAGAGAAGATAAGAAGATAGAGACAGAGAAGAGAACAGAAAGAGACAGAGAAGAGAAAAGAAGAGAGACAGAGAAGAGAACAGATAGAGACAGAAAAGAGAAAAAGAGAGAGAAAGAAGAAGAGAAAGAATAGGAAGAAGACAGAGAAGAGACCAGATAGAGAAAGAAAAGAGACCAGAAGAGAAGACAGAGAAGAGAAAAGAAAGGGAAAGAGAAGAGACCAGAGAAGAAGACAAAAGAAGAGAAACCAGATAAGGGAAAGAGAAGAGACCAGATAGAGACAGAAAGAGAAAAAGAACCAGATAGAGAAAGAGAAGAGACCAGATAGGGACAGAGAAGAGAAAAGATAGAGACAGACAGAGAAGAGAAGAAAAAGAAGAGAGAAGAGAAGAGAAAAGAAAAGAAACAGAAAAGAGACCAGAAGAGACAGACAGAGAAAGATAAAAGATAGAGAGAAAAGAAAGAAACAGAAAAAGACAGAGAAGAGAAAAGAAAAAAGAAAGAGAAGAAAAAGATAAAGACAGAAAAAAAAAAAGATAGAGACAGAGAAGAGACCAGAAAGAGACAAAACAGAGAAGAGACCAGATAGAGACAGAGAAAGAGACCAGAAGAGAAAAGAGAGAAAGAGACCAGAAGAAAGACAGAAAGAGATGAGACCAGAAAGAAAAAGAGAGAAAAAGAAAAGATAGAGAAGAAGAAGAGACCAGATTGGGAAAGAAGAAGAGACAAGAAGAAGAAACAGACAGAGAAAAAGACCAGAAGAGAAAAAAACAAAGAGACCAGATAGGGACAAGAGAAGAGACCAGAAAGAGAAAGAGAAAAAACCAGAAGGGGAAGAGAGAAGAGACAGAAAGAGACAGAAAGAGACAGATAGAAGAAAGACAGAGAAGAGACCAGATAGAGAAGAAGAAAGAGAAAAGACCAGATAAAGAGACAGAGAAAAGAAAAGAAGAAAGAGACAGAGAAAAGAAAGAAGAGAAGAAGAGAAAGAGAAGAGAAAGAAAAGAGACAAGAAAAAAGAAAAAAATAAGAAGAGAAGAAGAAAAAGATAGAGAAAGAGAGAAAGAAGAGAAAAAAAAGAGACAAAAAAAAGAAGAAAAGATAAGAAGAGAAGAGAAAAGATAAGAAGAAAGAAGAAGAAGAGAAAAGATAGGGACAGAAAAAGAGACCAGAAAGAAGACAGAAGAAGAAAAGAAGATAGAGAAAGAGAAGAGAAGAGATAGAAGAAGAGAAAAGAAGAAAGAAAAACAAATAGAGACAAAGAAGAAACAGAAGAAGGGAAAGAGAAAAAGACCAAATAGAGAAAGAAAAAGAAAGAAGAAGAGAAAAGAAAAAGAGACAAGAAAAGAAAAAAGAGAAAAGACAGAAAAGAGAAAAGAAAGAGAAAGAGAAGAGAAGAGAAAAGGGAGAAGAGAAAGAGACCAGATAGAGAAAGAGAAAAAGAACCAGAAGAAGGGACAGAGAATAACCAGAAGAGAGAACAGGAGAAGAAAAGAGAACAGAAAGAGACAAAAAGAAGAGAAAAGAAGAAGAAGAGAAAAGAAGAAAGAAACAGATAGAGAAGAAAGAGAAAGAAAAAACAGATAAAGACAGAGAAGAGAGAAAAGATAGAGAAAACAGAGAAAAAGAACAGATAGAGACAGAGAAAAAGACCAGATAGAGAAAAGAAAGAGAAGAGAAAAAGTTAGAGAAGAGAAGAGACCAGATAGAGACAGAGAAGAGAGACCAGAAAGAGACAGAGAAAAGAAGAACCAGAAAGGGAAAGAGAAGAGAACCAGATAGAGACAGAACAGAAAGAAAAAAAAAAGAAAAAAGAGACAGAGAAAGAGACCAGAAAAAGACAGAGAAGAGACCAGATAGAGACAGAAAGAGAAAAGAAAACAGATAGAAAAAAAGAAGAAAGAAGAGAAAGAGATAGAGAAAGAGAAGAGACCAGAATAGAGACAGAGAAGAGAGAAGAAGAAGACAGAGAAAGAGACCAGAAAAAGAAAAGAGAAGAGAGATAAAAGATAGAGACAGACAGAGAAGAGACCAGATAGAAAAAAAGAGAAGAGACCAGATAAGACAGAGAAGAGAAGAAGATAGAGAAAGAAGAGAGAAAAAGAAAAGAGAGAGACAAAGAGAAGAGAGAAGAAAAAAACAAACAGAGAAAAAAGAAACAGAATAGAAAACAGAGAAGAGAAAGATAGAAAAAAACAGAAAGAGAAGAGAAAGAAAAAAAAAGAGAAAAGAGAAGAGAGAAGATAGAGAGAAGAGAAGAAGAAAGATAGAGACAGAGAAGAGAACCAGATAGGAAAACAAAGAAGAGAACCAGATAGAGAAAAGAGAAAGAGAAGAGAACAGATAGAGAAAGAGAAGAGAAAGATAGGGACAGAGAAGAGAAGAGAAGAAGAAGAAAGAGAGAGAGAAAAAAAACAGAATAGAGACAGAGAAGAGACAAAGATAGAGACAGAGAAGAGACCAGATAGAGACAGAGAAGAGAAAGACAGAGAGAAAGAGAAGAGACCAGATAGGGACAGAGAAGAAGAGACCAGATAGAGAAGACAGAGAAGAGAAGAGACAGATAGAGAAGAGAGACAGATAGGGAAGAGAAGAGACCAGATAGAGGACAGAGAGAGAACAGAAGAGAAGATAGAGACAGACAGAGAAGAGACCAGATAGAAAACAGACAGAGAAGAGACCAGATAGAGACAGACAGAGAAGAGACCAGATAGAGACAGACAGAGAAGAGACCAGATAGAGACAGAGAAGAGACCAGATAGACAGAAAAGAGAAAGAAGAGACCAGAAGAGACAGAAGAGACAAGAGAGACCAGATAGGGACAGACAGAGAAGAGACCAGAGAAGAGACAGAGAAAAAGACCAGATAGGGACAGAGAAGAGAAAAAGAGAGACAGAAGAGAAGAGAGAGAGACAGAGAAGAAACCAGATAGAGACAGAGAAGAGACCAGATAGGGACAGACAGAGAAGAGACCAGATAGAGACAGAGAAGAGACCAGATAGAGACAGAAAAGAGACCAGATAGAGACAGAGAAGAGACCAGATAGAGACAGAGAAGAGACCAGATAGAGACAGAGAAGAAACCAGATAGGGGCAGAGAAGAGACCAGATAGAGACAGAAAAGAGACCAGATAGAGACAGAGAAGAGACCAGATAGAGACAGAGAAGAAACCAGATAGGGACAGAGAAGAGACCATATAGGGACAGACAGAGAAGAGACCAGATAGGGACAGAAAAGAGACCGGATAGGGACAGAGAAGGTCAAGTACCTTGATAACCACAGGCAAGCAGATATTGTCCAGTGACGAAACTCGATAATTAAAGGCGGACATGCATGGTCTAATGACTAATCTCGATAACTAGAGTCAGGAAGACGAGGTCTAGTGACTAAACTCGGTAACCAGAGACACACAGACTTGGTCTAGTGACTAATGTCGTTAACCATAGTTAGACAGACTTGGTCTAGTGACTAATGTCGTTAACCATAGCTAGACAGACTTGGTCTAGTGACTAATGTCGTTAACCATAGTTAGACAGACTTGGTCTAGTGACTAATGTCGTTAAACATAGTTAGACAGACTTGGTCTAGTGACTAATGTCGTTAATCATAGTTAGACAGACTTGGTCTAGTGACTAATGTCGTTAATCATAGTTAGACAGACTTGGTCTAGTGACTAATGTCGTTAATCATAGTTAGACAGACTTGGTCTAGTGACTAACCCCGATAACTAGAAGCAAACTAGGTCTAGTGACTAACCTCAATAAATAGAGAAAGGCAGGCTAGCTCTAGTGACTATCTTCGACAACTATAGGCAGTCAGACAAGGTCCAGTGACTAACCCCGATAACTAGAAGCAAACTGGCTAGGTGTAATGACTAACTTCGATAACCTCAGGCAGTCAGACAAAGTCTAGTGACTAACTTTGATAAACGCAGCTAGAAGGACTAGGTCTAGAGACTAACCTCGATAACTAGGGCCGGACAGACTTTGTCTAGTGATTAATCTTCATAACTAGAGGCAGAAATACTAGTTCTAGTAACCAAACGCTATAATTAGAGGCAAAAAGACTAGGTCAAGTGACTAAACTCGATAACTTGAGTCAGGACGAATAGGTCAAGTGACCAATCTCGATAACCACACGCAGACAGACCAGATATAGTGGCTAACCTCGATAATTAGGGGCAGACAGACTTGTTTTAGTAACTAACCTCGATAACTACAGACAGGCAGACAAGGTGTAGTGACTAATCTCGATAACTAGAGGTATACTAGGTGTAGTGACTAATCTCGATAACTAGAGGTAGACTAGGTGTAGTGACTAACCTCGAAAACTAGAGGCAGACTAGGTGTAGTGACTAATCTCGATAACTAGAGGTAGACTAGGTCTAGTTACTAACCTCGATAACTAGAGGCAGACTAGGTGTAGTGACTAATCTCGATAACTAGAGGTAGACTAGGTGTAGTGACTAACCTCGATAACTAGAGGTAGACTAGGTCTAGTTACTAACCTCGATAACTAGAGGCAGACTAGGTGTAGTGACTAATCTCGATAACTAGAGGTAGACTAGGTCTAGTTACTAACCTCGATAACTAGAGGCAGACTAGGTGTAGTGACTAATCTCGATAACTAGAGGTAGACTAGGTGTAGTGACTAACCTCGATAACTAGAGGTAGACTAGGTCTAGTTACTAACCTCGATAACTAGAGGCAGACTAGGTGTAGTGACTAATCTCGATAACTAGAGGTAGACTAGGTCTAGTTACTAACCTCGATAACTAGAGGCAGACTAGGTGTAGTGACTAATCTCGATAACTAGAGGTAGACTAGGTGTAGTGACTAACCTCGATAACTAGAGGCAGACTAGGTGTAGTGACTAATCTCGATAACTAGAGGTAGACTAGGTGTAGTGACTAATCTCGATAACTAGAGGTAGACTAGGTGTAGTGACTAATCTCGATAACTAGAGGTAGACTAGGTGTAGTGACTAACCTCGATAACTAGAGGTAGACTAGGTGTAGTGACTAACCTCGATAACTAGAGGCAGACTAGGTCTAGTTACTAATCTCGATAACTAGAGGTAGACTAGGTCTAGTTACTAACCTCGATAAAAAGAGAAAAGCAGGCTAGCTCTAGTGACTAACTTTGATAACTAAAGGCAGACAGACTAGGTCTATTTGCTAGCCTCGATAACCACAGGCAGACAGACTAGTTCTAGCGACTAACCTCGATAACTAGGGGAAGACAGACACGGTCTAGTACCCCGATAACCACAGGCAGACAGACCAGATCAAGATTCTAGATGACTACAGGCAGTCAGACAAGGTGCGTTGACAAACCTCGATAACCAGAGGTAGACAGACTTGGTCTAGAGACTAACCTCGATAAACACAGAGAGACAGACTTTGCACAGTTACGAAACTTGATAACTAGGTTCTGACAGACTTTGTCTAGTGACTAAACTCGATAACTAGAGAAAGAGAGACTAGGTCTAGTGACCAATTGCGATAACTAGAGAAAGAAAGACTTGGTCTAGTGACTAAACTCGATAACAATAGGCAGACAGACTAATTATAGTGACTAACCTTGGTACCAAAAGCAGACTAGACTAGGTCTAGTGAAAAACTTTGATAAATATAGACAGACAAACGAGCTAGTGTCTAACCTCGATAATTAGATGCAGACAGACTTGACTAGTCACTAACATCGATAATGAGAGGCAGACAGACTAGTTCTAGTTACTACTCTCAATAACTACAAGCAAACAGACAAGGTCTAGTGACTAAATTTGATTACTATAAGCAGACAGACTAGATCTAGAGAATAACTTTGATAGTTAGAGGCAGACTAACTATGTCTAATAACTAATCACGATAACTACAGGCAGAGAGACTAGTTCTAGTGACCAGCTTGAGAACAACAGACAGGCAGACAGTCACGGTCTAGTACCTCGTAACCACAGGCCGACAGACACGGTCTAGTACCTCGTAACCACAGGCAGACAGACACGATCTAGTACCTCGTAACCACAGGCCGACAGACATGGTCCAGTACCTCGTAACCAAAGGCCGACAGACACGGTCTAGTACCTCGTAACCACAGGCCGACAGACACGGTCTAGTACCTCGTAACCACAGGCCGACAGACACGGTCCAGTACCTCGTAACCAAAGGCCGACAGACACGGTCCAGTATCTCGTAACCAAAGGCCGACAGACACGGTCTAGTACCTCGTAACCAAAGGCCGACAGACACGGTCCAGTACCTCGTAACCAAAGGCCGACAGACACGGTCTAGTACCTCGTAACCACAGGCCGACAGACACGGTCCAGTACCTCGTAACCAAAGGCCGACAGACACGGTCCAGTACCTCGTAACCACAGGCCGACAGACACGGTCTAGTACCTCGTAACCAAAGGCCGACAGACACGGTCTAGTACCTCGTAACCACAGGCCGACAGACACGGTCTAGTACCTCGTAACCAAAGACCGACAGACACGGTCTAGTACCTTGTAACCACAGGCAGACAGACAGGGTCTAGTGAAAAACTTTGATAAATATAGACAGACAGACGAGCTAGTGTCTAACCTCGATAATTAGATGCAGACAGACTTGACTAGTCACTAACATCGATAATGAGAGGCAGACAGACTAGTTCTAGTTACTACTCTCAATAACTACAAGCAAACAGACAAGGTCTAGTGACTAAATTTGATAACTATAAGCAGACAGACTGGATCTAGAGAATAACTTTGATAGTTAGAGGCAGACTAACTATGTCTAATAACTAATCACGATAACTACAGGCAGAGAGACTAGTTCTAGTGACCAGCTTGAGAACAACAGACAGGCAGACAGTCACGGTCTAGTACCTCGTAACCACAGGCCGACAGACACGGTCTAGTACCTCGTAACCACAGGCAGACAGACACGATCTAGTACCTCGTAACCACAGGCCGACAGACACGGTCCAGTACCTCGTAACCAAAGGCCGACAGACACGGTCTAGTACCTCGTAACCACAGGCCGACAGACACGGTCTAGTACCTCGTAACCACAGGCCGACAGACACGGTCCAGTACCTCGTAACCAAAAGCCGACAGACACGGTCCAGTATCTCGTAACCAAAGGCCGACAGACACGGTCTAGTACCTCGTAACCAAAGGCCGACAGACACGGTCCAGTACCTCGTAACCAAAGGCCGACAGACACGGTCTAGTACCTCGTAACCACAGGCCGACAGACACGGTCCAGTACCTCGTAACCAAAGGCCGACAGACACGGTCCAGTACCTCGTAACCACAGGCCGACAGACACGGTCTAGTACCTCGTAACCAAAGGCCGACAGACACGGTCTAGTACCTCGTAACCACAGGCCGACAGACACGGTCTAGTACCTCGTAACCACAAGCCGACAGACTAGTTATAGTGACTACCATCAATAACCACAAGCAGACTAGGTCTGGTGACTGAATTCGATACCTAGAGGCACACTGGGTCTATTTACCAGCCTCGATAGAGGCAGACAGGCTTGTTCTAGTCACTAACTTTGACAACTATAGGCAGACAGACTAGGTCTATTGGCTAACCGATAATAATAAGCAGACAGGCAATAACCTCAATAACTAAAGGCAAAAATACTAACCTCAACTAACAGTCTCAGTAATTTTCTTCTTTTTATTATTATTGTTCCATAATTTTATGTATGCAGTGCCCCGACAATGAAAAAAAAAAAAAAAACAGGAAGGTCAACCGGTCGACAGCCGTTTCTATAGCACTATAAATATGAATCGAGTACCCCCATATATCAATATAAAGTAGTAGTGCCCCGAAAACCCCGATGTGCTCCTAAAGAGACCTCCGTGTCCAAAGAGGGTATAGAAAAAATAAAAACACTTTTAGTAACACATTAGAAGAGACGTTCCTGACCTTATAACAAAACACACTTCCACTATCTTGGGAAATATCTTACCTATTGAACTTTTAGCAGCCCCCACCACTCAAATTGGTGCTAAACTGGTGGCACTAGTCGACTCGTTTTGCGCTTTACCTACTACTTGGAGGCAGACATACATGGTCCAGTGACTAACCACCATAAACACAGACAGACAAGGTCTCGTGACTAACCTCGATGACTACAGGCACATAGACTCGGGTCGAGCTTTTGTTAACCTCCATACCGACAGTTGACCAATCAGCCTGGTACACGAGACAGTTATCGTCACTTCTCTCGCCTTTCTGTGCTTCTAGATCTAACTTTTCCGATTTGAGCACCATCTGCCTGGAATTATAGAATAACATATACAGGGACAGTTAATTCTCGAACATACAGGGAACACAGTTAAAACTCACGCATTCAGGAACAGTCAGTTAACACTCCCACACATACAGATACAATCAGTTAAAACTCACACACATACAGGAGACAGTCAGTTAAAATACCCACACATACGGGGTGCATTCAGTTAACCGTTACACATACAAGGACAGTCAGTTACACGCACACACATACAAGGACAGTCAGTTAACACGCACACACATACAAGGACAGTCAGTTAACACGCACACACATACAAGGACAGTCAGTTAACACGCACACACATACAAGGACAGTCAGTTAACACGCACACAAATATGCAGGGACAGTCAGCTAACACTCATAACCATACAGGGGACAGTCAGCTAACACTCATACACATACAGGGGACAGTCAGCTAACACTCATACCCATACAGGGGACAGTCAGCTAACACTCATACCCATACAGGGGACAGTCAGCTAACACTCATACACATACAGGGGACAGTCAGCTAACACTCATACACATACAGGGGACAGTCAGCTAACACTCATACACATACAGGGGACAGTCAGCTAACACTCATACCCATACAGGGGACAGTCAGCTAACACTCATACCCATACAGGGGACAGTCAGCTAACACTCATACACATACAGGGGACAGTCAGCTAACACTCATACCCATACAGGGGACAGTCAGCTAACACTCATACACATACAGGGGACAGTCAGCTAACACTCATACCCATACAGGGGACAGTCAGTTAACACGCACACAAATATGCAGGGACAGTCAGCTAACACTCATACCCATACAGGGGACAGTCAGCTAACACTCATACCCATACAGGGGACAGTCAGCTAACACTCATACACATACAGGGGACAGTCAGCTAACACTCATACCCATACAGGGGACAGTCAGCTAACACTCATACACATACAGGGGACAGTCAGCTAACACTCATACACATACAGGGGACAGTCAGCTAACACTCATACCCATACAGGGGACAGTCAGCTAACACTCATACCCATACAGGGGACAGTCAGCTAACACTCATACCCATACAGGGGACAGTCAGCTAACACTCATACCCATACAGGGGACAGTCAGCTAACACTCATACCCATACAGGGGACAGTCAGCTAACACTCATACACATACAGGGGACAGTCAGCTAACACTCATACCCATACAGGGGACAGTCAGCTAACACTCATACCCATACAGGGGACAGTCAGCTAACACTCATACCCATACAGGGGACAGTCAGCTAACACTCATACCCATACAGGGGACAGTCAGCTAACACTCATACCCATACAGGGGACAGTCAGCTAACACTCATACACATACAGGGGACAGTCAGCTAACACTCATACACATACAGGGGACAGTCAGCTAACACTCATACACATACAGGGGACAGTCAGCTAACACTCATACACATACAGGGGACAGTCAGCTAACACTCATACCCATACAGGGGACAGTCAGCTAACACTCATACACATACAGGGGACAGTCAGCTAACACTCATACCCATACAGGGGACAGTCAGCTAACACTCATACCCATACAGGGGACAGTCAGCTAACACTCATACACATACAGGGGACAGTCAGCTAACACTCATACACATACAGGGGACAGTCAGCTAACACTCATACCCATACAGGGGACAGTCAGCTAAACACTCATACCCATACAGGGGACAGTCAGCTAACACTCATACCCATACAGGGGACAGTCAGCTAACACTCATACACATACAGGGGACAGTCAGCTAACACTCATACACATACAGGGGACAGTCAGCTAACACTCATACCCATACAGGGGACAGTCAGCTAACACTCATACACATACAGGGGACAGTCAGCTAACACTCATACCCATACAGGGGACAGTCAGCTAACACTCATAACCATACAGGGGACAGTCAGCTAACACTCATACACATACAGGGGACAGTCAGCTAACACTCATACACATACAGGGGACAGTCAGCTAACACTCATACACATACAGGGGACAGTCAGCTAACACTCATACACATACAGGGGACAGTCAGCTAACACTCACACACATACAGGGGAAAGTCAGTTAACACTCACACACATACAGGGAACAGTCAGTTAAAACACTCACACACATACAGGGTACAGTCAGCTAACACTCACACACATACAGTGCGCTGTCAGTTAACACTCACACATATTACAGGGTACAGTCAGCTAACACTTACACACATACATGGGACAGTCAGCTAACACTCACACATATACAGGGAACAGTCAGTTAAAATACTCACACACATACAGGGGACAGTCAGTGAACATTCACACACATACAACTGTCAGTCATTTAACACTTACACATATACAGAGAAAATTCAGTTACCACCCAAACAAATGCAAGAACACTCAGTTAACACTCACACATACACAGGGAGCCAGTAATTTAACACCCACACACATACGATGGACAATCAGTTAACATTCAAATAAATACAACGACAGCCAGTTAACGCTCACACACATACAGCTTCAGTCAGTTAACATTCACACATAGACAGGGGCCAGTCATTTAACACTCACACACATACAAAGGACAGTCAGTTCAGATACATACAAATACAATGACAGTCAGTTAACACTCACACACATAGAGGGACAGTCAGGTAGCACTCACACACATAGAGGGACAGTCAGTTAACACTCACACACATAGAGGGACAGTCAGTTAACACTCACACACATAGAGGACAGTCAGTTAACACTCACACACATAGAGGGACAGTCAGTTAACAATCACACACATAGAGGACAGTCAGTTAACACTCACACACATAGAGGACAGTCAGTTAACACTCACACACATAGAGGGACAGTCAGTTAACACTCACATACATAGAGGGACAGTCAGTAAACACTCACACACATAGAGGGACAGTCAGTTAACACTCACACACATAGAGGGACAGTCAGTTAACACTCATACACATAGAGGGACAGTCAGTTAACACTCACACACATAGAGAGGGACAGTCAGTTAACACACTCACACACATAGAGGGACAGTCAGTTAACACTCACACACATAGAGGGACAGTCAGTTAACACTCACACACATAGAGGGACAGTCAGTTAACACTCACACACATAGAGGGACAGTCAGTTAACACTCACACACATAGAGGGACAGTCAGTTAACACTCACACACATAGAGGGACAGTCAGTTAACACTCACACACACATAGAGGGACAGTCAGTTAACACTCACACACATAGAGGGACAGTCAGTTAACACTCACACACATAGAGGGACAGTCAGTTAACACTCACACACATAGAGGACAGTCAGTTAACACTCACACACATAGAGGGACAGTCAGTTAACACTCACACACATAGAGGGACAGTCAGTTAACACTCACACACATAGAGGGACAGTCAGTTAACACTCACACACATAGAGGGACAGTCAGTTAACACTCACACACATAGAGGGACAGTCAGTTAACACTCACACACATAGAGGGACAGTCAGTTAACACTCACACACATAGAGGGACAGTCAGTTAAAACTCACACACATAAAGGGACAGTCAGTTAACACTCACACACATAGAGGGACAGTCAGTTAACACTCACACACATAGAGGACAGTCAGTTAACACTCACACACATAGAGGGACAGTCTGTTAACACTCACACACATAGAGGGATAGTCAGTTAACACTCACACACCTAGAGGGACAGTCAGTTAACACTCACACACATAGAGGGACAGTCAGTTAACACTCACACACATAGAGGGACAGTCAGTTAACACTCACACACATAGAGGGACAGTCAGTTAACACTCACACACATAGAGGGACAGTCAGTTAACACTCACACACATAGAGGGACAGTCAGTTAACACTCACACACATAGAGGGACAGTCAGTTAACACTCACACACATAGAGGGACAGTCTGTTAACACTCACACACATAGAGGACAGTCAGTTAACACTCACACACAAAGAGGGACAGTCAGTTAACACTCACACACATAGAGGGACAGTCAGTTAACACTCACACACATAGAGGGACAGTCAGTTAACACTCACACACATAGAGGGACAGTCAGTTAACACTCACACACATAGAGGGACAGTCAGTTAACACTCACACACATAGAGGGACAGTCAGTTAACACTCACACACATAGAGGGACAGTCAGTTAACACTCACACACATAGAGGGACAGTCAGTTTAACACTCACACACATAGAGGGACAGTCAGTTAACACTCACACACATAGAGGGACAGTCAGTTAACACTCACACACATAGAGGGACAGTCAGTTAACACTCACACACATAGAGGGATAGTTAGTTTAAAACACACACGTTCAGATACTGTCAGTTAACACTCACACACATAGAGGGACAGTCAGTTAACACTCACACACATAGAGGGACAGTCAGTTAACACTCACACACATAGAGGGACAGTCAGTTAACACTCACACACATAGAGGGATAGTTAGTTAAAACACACACGTTCAGATACTGTCAGTTAACACTCACACACATAGAGGGACAGTCAGTTAACACTCACACACATAGAGGGACAGTCAGTTAACACTCACACACATAGAGGGACAGTCAGTTAACACTCACACACATAGAGGGACAGTCAGTTAAAACTCACACACATAGAGGGACAGTCTGTTAACACTCACACACATAGAGGGACAGTCAGTTAACACTCACACACATAGAGGGACAGTCAGTTAAAACTCACACACATAGAGGGACAGTCAGTTAACACTCACACACATAGAGGGACAGTCAGTTAACACTCACACACATAGAGGGACAGTCAGTTAACACTCACACACATAGAGGGACAGTCAGTTAACACTCACACACATAGAGGGACAGTCAGTTAACACTCACACACATAGAGGGACAGTCAG